AAACGACGAAAGCCCACACCGAGTTGAAGCTCATCATGGTCAAGAGTGCCCCCTATCTTGATTCATTGAAGGGGTCGATGTTGCAACAGGACTCTTTTACGTATTGGATATTTTAGGGTTCTTGGCTGCCAAACAGACTCGAAGCGATGGCACCACTTGGCTCACTTGGTCCGAGAAGCACACAGCCTTAACCTTGGCCCCACACTTCAGGCAGCCCACATCCTCCTCTGTGAAAACGAACTCCTGGGCCTTGTATCAAACAACCCCCTGCAGATTTACATGGGAAGGCATGGAAGGCCATCAAATCCTCATTTGTAGAGGAATCTCCTGTTCGCGGGGCTCCATGTTCGTTTGCAGGGGAGTTGTCTTTGGTTTCCCTTGCATCTTTGTCTCTCTCATGAAATTCTTCAGAAGCGGTTTCAACATTGGGAAACCCGCTTCTCATTTGGCTTTAAGGGAGCCAAAAAAACAACCCGTCACTTTTAGGAGTCTAGCTAAAACCACGCAAGCCTCCGCGAGGTGACGTCCTTTTTACGAGATGCCACAAGGCCGGGGAGAAAGGTGCCACTGGGCTCAACGGGGGTACGGGGGTTATCCCCGAAAATGCAGGGTTTCTCGTAGCAGGCACGGAGCTCCTCGAGTGGACTTTGCAATAAGCTGATTCGAGGTTAGTCACGACCAAAACCTGGTTTCAGTAGGAAAAGAAGGTACCCAAACGCATGTTGGTAATCAGAACGGGCGGATTTCCCCCAATTCTTGACATGCCTGATTCTCACGAAAGCTGTATACCACCTGCCGGACCGACCGAAGTCGACATGGTGAGCAAGGGCAAGGGGAAGTGCTCCTGGGCCAGCTGCCGCAAAGGATCGCAGGAGAAAGCCTGTGAAGATTGAAAGAATTTGCAAGGTTCACTCGGGTTCAGCCCTTGCACCACAAAAATCATGCCCTTTCGAGGGTACCATGTTCACCTTGGTTTAAAGGGAAACATCACCATTTGGGGCTCCTCCGATTGCAACACATGGGATCAAAAAGTCCGATGAACACATGACCGTTGCTTGGAAAAGCAAGCATCTGCAGCAAATCAGCTTGGAGTGCAAAGAATGCCATGATCTTTCAACCATGGGAAAAGTTACCCCACGGTCATTTGGTTAAAGGTTCCTAGAAAATACGGACCCAACCCGCGGATGTGTCCGAACCCCAACTTGGCCGCCGGGCGTGGCACTCGGCCACTGTGATGCTCATGGCCTCGGTGTGCGCGCGCGCACGATGCTTTCAGCTTGGCTCCAAGGAAGAGCCAAAAAGTGGTGGGGTCCAAATGAACTTGTCTTTTGGACACATGGGCCCCTTTTTTTCCCGAGGCGGGGGAATCTACCTGGCCCCTGAACCGGGAAAAAGGCCCAAGCCCCCCAGCCGGGGCCGCTGCAGCGAGGTGCGGGAAGGCCTGAGACTCCGTTTTCGACTTGCACCCAGGGGTTTCACTTCCCAAGTGCCGGGGATGTTTTCTTTCTTCACCTTTACACTTCTTGGCCGGTTGATTCCATCGCGTCTTCGGGGGGTTCAAGGGCGCGCAGGGTTCCACTGAACTGGCAAGTCATGATCAGAACCTGGTGTACGAGTCTGCCCAAAGCCCACATTACAGAGCCAAAAGGGCGGATATCCACATCGAAGTTCTGGTTAGGACTGTCCCAAACCTTCATCTACCGGAATCGATTGTGGTTGTGGCCGACTGACCAAACTGACCAGCCAAGGAAAACCTCAGAAGGCATCGTCCCTTGTTGTTCTTTAGGTGTTCGTCGAAAACAAGATTGGCTATCGGATGTGTGATGCTGGCTGCAATGAATTTGTAATCTCCGCACATGAACTGTTGGGTCTTGGATCTGAAGGGTTCCTCTTAGATCCTTCTTACATCAAGCTTGCCCACGGTGGGGCCATCGAGGATCGGAAATGATTCATGGGCAGTCAGCAGAGACCGGTTGCTACAGCAGCCAGACAGGATGGTGGTTGCACGTTGTGGCGCGACAAGAACCCTGGTTGAGCGCAAAAACCCATGGAAAAGTGCGGAGATGAGAAACATCGCAAACGTCCAGTCAAGAACATCCAGACACGCAAGGACCCGCCTTGCCGTCGCATCTGAAAGGTGACTCCCTCCTTCCCAGTCATTCCTCCCTGACTGGGGCGGAATCCATCAAAGGTAAATACAAACTTTGCAGAATGGATGCGTAAGAACATCAAAATTTCTCGGGGTGCGGAGGGGGTAGGCGGGCTGTGGGGGGGCTTTGGGGGGGTTGGAGGGCTTGGGGGGATTTGGCAAGGGTATCCTCATGTCTTCGTCTTTCCGGCCCCTCCGACCCTGCCTTGCCAGCGCCCTTGCTCAGGTACTCGTAGGGCGCGCAGGGGAAGTCCCCCGCATCAGTGCAGGGCCTAAGTACCCGGACACGGCCCCGAGGATTTGCAGCGAGCACGCAGCCTCGAAATAGGTGGTCGCGCATTCGCTCTCCCCGAAAGCAGAAAGTTTAAAAACAGGTGTCCTGGTACCCGACCAGGCAAAATGGATCCGGGCAAATTAACGATACCCTTCAAAAACGTCGGAGACACCATACTACATGCCATGGCGCAATCCCTTCGTTGACTCTGCTTCCGCGGGGCTGTTTTTTCTCCTGGAGAAGCATCGAGTGACCGGACCGCCGTGGACAACTTGCCGAGATGAGAAAGAGTTCCGGCCGCCGTGTGATGCCAATTGAAGGGCAGTCAAAAGTGGGTGTCTTTCGTTGAGGCACCCACTCTTGGTGGGCTCTTGAGGCAAACCCAAAGAAGAAACAAAGCCAGTCTGGTCCAAGACGCACCCAAATAATAGGATCTTTGGCTGTGGGTCAAAAATAGGTACCCAAAATGGAACCATGGTAAATGGAAACATAGACAAAATCCTGCGGTCCATATCCTGGTGGTTTCATTTTGACCCATACCCCTTTGACCTCGGGCTGCCTCAACCTTCGGGTTTTCAGGGTCCGGCTGGCCGCCGCACCACACGCAGGGCTGGCCACGGATGGCGAGGCCCCCGAAGGAGGCGGCGGCGGAGCCGTCCAGGCTGCCTGCCCCACCCACCCGCCGAGTCTAACTTGGCCACCGAGCTGGTTGGTCATCCAAAAGTCATGCGCGTCATAGTCAAAAAGTCAAAACCCGGCTTTAACATGGGCTACCCAGAGCCATGTAAAGAATTAAGAAGGCGGATATCTGCAGCTATTTATGCTTGGGATTGTCCCAACCTTCACCTACCCGAATCGGTTTTGATTGTCCCTCATGCGATGTGCACCCTCTCGAACAGAAGGCACCTCTGGGAGAGGAGCGGTTGTCTGGAAGATCATCTTCCTCTTGGGACCCCACGTCAGGTGCCATGTCAGTGGGAGTGAGGCTGTGTCCTTTTCCAGATTGGATTGTTTTGTAACGGGAAAAAGAAAAACGGAAGAAGCTGGTGGGGTGGCTATATCCCAACAAAACATGGAAACCCATTCAATTTGCTCTTTGATCTGCGGGATGCAAAAAGTCCCAAGCTGCAGTGGGCGTCCCACATAGGGAGCCAGCCCAAAATAAGGTTTCCCTCACCCTGAAGAAAAGTTACCCTCAAGATCCGGACTCACCTATGGCAAGGGCAACAGGGCAACGCTCTGGAAAGGCGCGGGTTTTGGGTTTTGGGTCCGAAATTTCACTCATCCACCAATGCCGGTTAGTATGGCAAAGGTCATTGGAAGCCCATCGCCTTCCGGCCGCTTCAAACAACCGCCCGCCGAAAACACCATGGTCGCACTGCCCCCTCACAATGACTGGGACTACGGGCTCACAGTCCCAATAAGCCCATGACAACCATAGGAACGTGGCCACAGATTTGGGTACGAAACTTGAGACTGCCTCCCAACCACCCCACCCCATGCTGAGGGCATTGGCTTAAGCAGGTCAGCTTGTCTTTGATGGCCATGCAGCCAGCGGGCTGGCGTAGGATGCGGCAAGATTTTGTGCATGCCAGGGTTCCTCTCAGGTTCTGCTACCTGCACGTTGCTTCATTTTTTGGGTGGGGGTCTGCTGTGGGGTCCCTTCTGCTAGCTGCCAGCATCTGGAAGACTAAACAAGACGAGGCATGAAGCCTTCCCCCTGCGCAGTGGCAGGCCACCCGAAGCTGCCTTCACGGTCAAGCAGCCGAGGTTGTCCTTGGAAGCTCCCACGAACGCAAAAGCATGCAGAAGCAACATGGGGCGTGTCAGTTGTTGGAAGGGGAATTTCTTTTGGGGCCTATTTTCAAGGGCAGCCCAAAGCAAAACCGTTTGCGTTCTCCAAATTGATCCATGCCCAGCTGGCTGCTCTGCAATCAAAGCCAAGCAAAGCGGATGCCTCAGTTTCGGGAAAGCCAAGCTTGTCTTTAAACTTCAAAGGCAAAATACCTAGGCCATGTCGCCGTATCGTTCCAAAAAAGAAGAAGAAAAAAAAACGATCCGCTCCTTACCGCCAACGGCTCCCAGCCCGCGGGGTCCGAAGCCAACCCGAAGCCGCGGGGCCCCGGCCATCTTGGGCGGGTCCAGCTTTGGCTGCTCCACCTCGAAGTGGCCCTTCACCACACCCTCCTCCGGAAGATGTTGAGGCCGGTAGGAGGGTCAATTCTTCCTGGGATTCTCGGGGCGGGGCGGGGGGGGAAGGGGGGGAAGGGGGGGGGGAAGGCCTGCGTCCCTGCCTTTCAGGCGCGCGTTTTGACTCCCTCCACATGTCCGGTTAAACCAAGCCTGGCACTGCGCCACCAGCGGCTGCTTCACATAACCTCAGGCCGGTGCTGCCTGGCGAAACCCAGGCGCTGGCTTTCAAGGGTTTGGGCTGGTAAAGCGAAGCCAAAACCCTCTGAACAATGGAAGTGGCGGCTGCGGGCTTAAGACCATCCTCTCGAAAAGGCAACCCTTCTCCACTATCCATGTTCAATGTGGGAAAAAGGGAACCCGGCCAAGCGGCTGGTGGTGAAAGCAGACCCCTCGCCTCGGCGTGAGCTGAGAAACAACAATGGGTGGCTTGTCTTCACCCCGTTTTTGGTGGCTTTACAGGGAAACCAAATGGAAAGCCCATCTTCTCGGAGGGTCCCCCAAGAAACACGACACCAAATCTCGACTTTTTTGAGGGCAGCTGACGAACAAACTAAAGCTGCCGCAAAGGCGGCCTTCCTTGCCCCCGACAGAACTCGTGCGGGAACCTCGATACCTTCTCCTTTGGCCAACAGAGGAAAATCCAGGGGGGTCCCTCACTTGTTCCCATTTTGGGGGTCCCAAAACTAGGCATCAGATCAGAGGAAACCTCAGGTCGTCCCATTTCAGGGGGTCCCCAAAAGAGGCACCCACCCAAGGCGAGCGGCCGTTCATCTGCAGATCGAACGGCTCGCACTTGGCGCCCTTTTCATTGCAGAGCCTCGGGCTCCGAGAGAGCACCGTCTCCGGTGTACAAAGGGACCTCTGCATCCAATGGGAACCCCAGATTAAGAACCCCCTGGCAGATTGATATGCGGGGGGTTCAGCACGTTTCAGAGGAACATCCGTGCCAGGAATCATGAGCAACGCTGCTGCGACAAGCTTCCGGCATGGCCAACGTGCCCTTTCTGCCCAACGCCCACCTTCCCGGCCAACTGCCGCTCTTTGATACCCCGTCTCTGTTGGGTAGCGGGCTCCATAAACCAAACCCAACAGGCGCGCGCGCCTCGCACCCCTCATTTGGGTGTGTCATTTTTTTGAACCTACCCCTTTTTTGCGGTATCTTCAAGAAAAACCGCTTTGCCATTTTCGCGGCTCCCCATTTGCGCGGCTCCCCCTTCCTCCATTGAAAACAAAACAAAACAAAACGCCGAGCACGGGCATTTTTCGCCTCATCGCTTGGGCCCCGGGCCCTCCATTGCACCACACGCAGGCCTGGCCCTGCACCTTGCGCCCCGCGATGGTCTCATTGCGCCCGTCCGCGCTGGCCAGGCAGAGGTAAGGGTCCACCAGCCTAGGCCCGGCCCAGGGCTGGGCCAACCAAACAGCTTTCAACCACCTCCTTTTGGGTTTCCCTTTAAAGGGGAGGGCTTGGTTGGTTTAAAAGACAGAGGTTCAGACCTTGGCCACAAAAAAGCCTGACTTCAAAAGAGCCTAGCCTTCGCGATAGATACCTATGCCTACTGTATGGGTGCGAAACTTCATCTACCCAGATTGTGCCAACAAAAAGAAACGCCGGGCATTGGACTTAGGAAGTCTTGCATGATATTTGGGCATTGTGTCGAAATCTTGGAGCCCATGGACGGTGCTCTTTTGGTTTTCCTTTAAAAGGGGTAGCCTCAAAAACACACACACACACACACACACACACACACACACACACACACACACACACACACACACACACACACACACACACACACACACACACACACACACACACACACCACACACACACACACACACACACACACACACACACACACACTGCCAGGATCCGTCAAAGAGTCACTGGCTGCCATCGCCCCCCCCCCCCCCCCCAAAAAAAAAAAGATGCTCCGGGGCTCCGGCGATGGGCAGCCCTTGTTGTCCAAGGACAGGCATGAAAGGTCCTTCGCACGGACGCCCGGCCCAGCTCACCCTCGAGCCAGGGAATAAACTGAGCTGGCTCCCGCGGCCGGCCGCAGGAGACCTTTCCACTGGGATACATGCGGGGAGTTGTCAAACAATTAGGGGCCTGTTCTGGTAGCCGCAAGGAAAACGAGGCGGCACGAATCGCCGACCAGGGTCCAACCAGGAACCGGCCATATGTGTGAGGATCTTCCGGCAGGATTTCTGTTCCACTTTCCGCAAGGATTACCCAGTTCGCCGGTTCACGTAGCGCCATCCTTCATTTTTTCCCTCTCATGGTCCTTTGAAAGGAAACCACCCCCAATTGTTGGCCAACCGGGTGACTTTGACCCAAAGTGCCCTGCCACCAGCGCCAGCTTTCCCTGACACCCCTCGGAATCCGGGCAACCTCCTCGCCCGCCGCAAGCACAGTCAAAAGGAACGCCGCCTAAACCGAGACGCTGCCTATGTTTCCCTGAAACATTACTCCGCTTGGGGTTCAAAAGGCGATGTGGGGGTGTCTTTGTTTGAGGGTACCCAATGCCAACAAGGATACCCTTAAGAAAAGAACGCCCCCAGCCCATCACATAAAAACTGGAAATTAAGGGAGCGCGAGAGATGGAAGATCATTCCAGTATTTGTTTGGAGCAAAGTTCCTATCATCCACTCTGAGTGTTACGTCCAACAACCCAAGCTGTGAGGAACGCTCCAAATGGCACATCTTTCTTTCAAAAGCCGTCAAAGGACTGCCTGCCTGCCACAAGGAGCGGTTGTCTGAAGTGGAAAAGCAACGAGGGCCTCTCTAAGTCTACCAGTCAAAGCCTGAGCAAGATATGGCCAGGCCTGAAAGCAGAGGCGGCGCGTCATCATCGGCCGAAAAGAATCCAGATATGTGTCTAGAGCCTTGATGAGACTGAAACCTTCTCTGGGCGTGGCCTCGCTTTGGCAGAGCCGACTCTTGCAACCGGAGACTTTTCGCCCGACGGCTATTTGAGTCCTAGATCTAAGGTCCCATGTCATGCATGCGGCTCGCCTGAACGATGCTTGGCGCACCCATATTGATGTGTATTGGCGCCTCTTGGATGAAGCCTTCGCACCTCTTGAGCCAAGGCTTACAAGCTTCTCTGCTAGCTTGTACGGGCAAGAAAGAAACAACATGGATCTGAGTGAAACTAGGGGGATCCAATTTGTTTTTGCTTTGCTTCTTTTCTGTTGCTGTCCCGTTAAAACCCGACCAAAAGGGGGGGGGCTCCTCAAGACAACACAGACCACATCTTAAGCAGCAGTGCTGCAGTTCTCGATACACCGCCACAACTCAGGGGCTGCGTGCTCTCTGCAAACGACGTGTCATGCCAAGTAGTACCTGGATGCTTCTTCATTAGCACTTTGATCATTTTACGACATACCCCATACATGCTCCACTTGCTCCGACAAAAACGTCAATTCCACACGGCTACAAGGCCACACTCTTGTTCGCCGGGTCCAAGTGAACCAATTACCTCCTCAACTGAAAAGAAGAGGAGGAGGAGCAAGAGGAGGAGGAGGAGGCGGAGGAAAGACGTCAGCGTGAGGGCAGGCTCGGAGGGCGGCTTCTGCGGCTCATCTCCTCCCTCCTTCAAGGTTCCTCCTGTTGCGCCACAACACCAAACCAAAGCACAGGCACTCCATCCTAATTGCCCTTTCAACAGGCGGGTTTCTTTGAGCCCCACACCAGTTGCCGCATTTTCCTGTCTCCCCGTCCTTTTCAGCAGCTGCTCAGCCGCCAGCGCGGCCTCGTCCTCTCCCACCCCGTACCGCCGCCCAAAGGCCGCCGCCCGCCGCTCGAAGTGCGCGGCGGAGTCGGACCCAAAGGCGTAGCCCCAGGCCTCCAGCTGCTGCCGCAGCTGCGCTCGAACTTCCGAAGCCCTGAAGGAGAGGCTTGTTTAGAAACTGCCAGACGGATTCCAAGTAAGTTGGAAAACACCAGGATGTTGAAACAAATGTCGGTCACTGTCAAAGCAAGGCCCAACGCTGCCTGGGACTTCCCGAGCACTGCAAGCTGTCCGGGAGCTCCACACCCAGGCACAGCTTCTCCTTCACCAGTCTCTGCCACTGAAAGTCCAGGCCGGGCTGCTGATCCTTCTCCCTCGGAGGCTCTTGAAGAACCTCCGCTGCTGCAAGGATGTTCCAAGGATCAACTTGCCACCGCGCACGAGCTCCGTGCAGCAGACGGATCAGGGTCTGATATTGATTCTCCGTGTAGCAAGGCTCTCCCTCCAGGGCGATGGAAATGCTGTAGGACTTGAGCTCGTTGATGCGACCCTTCCCCTGCATGAACCCAGACTCCAGGCCACAACCACCCCAGTATGCCAGGTTGTAGTCCCAGGCCATAAGCTCCTCCGAAACCAAGTTGTATTGCTGGCCTTCCTGGGTGATCAGGTAATTCGCACTCAGGCCTGTCAGCTGGAAGCGCCGGATGTAACGATCCTTGGTTGCTGTTGACCCTCCTGCAAAAAGTGAATAACTCTTTGGGGGTTTAGTGGAAAACCCCCTTGATTTCAACCAAAAAGTTCAAGTCCAAAGATCCAACCCAATAGTAGTCGGGGATCTTTGTCCAAGTTTGTGCTCCCTAGAATGATGCAAGTCGGCTCCACCGTTGCCCCAGTGATCCGGTCCAGTCGCCTGCGATGATCCTTCCGCCAATCCTCCACCACCCAAATACCATGCTCTTGCTGCATTGGCTCGCCTTACCGGAACCCAACGCAGAGACTGCCAAGAAACGGCAACTCTAGAATTTTGATGCGCATGACTAGTGAAAGTTCATCATGAAACAAAGCAAGCACGTGGACACGCACATACTCTGCCCATTTCACACCTAGAAGCACTCTTGGGTAAGCAATGTGTAGCCAGTGGTGAAAGGCCTTATACCGCCGTGGCCGTAGTGGAGCACAATCGATGGCTCCCCGCCGCGTTTACGATACTCTCGAGTGAATGTGGTCGAGAATTCAGAAATGTCACAGCTGTGCTTGAAGCAAGGAAGGGTCTTCTTCACGGCTTTCTCAAATTCTGTGACACCCTCTTCCCCCCCATCGTCAGCAAGCGCCCCTTGCGGAACTGAAAACACAAGGACATACGTGTTCAAAGCGGGCTTGTAGCAGCCCTGTCGGGTCGCAGCGTATCCCCCGAAGCTGCCACGGCAGGCATTGATGAAGATGAAAAAGGTGCAGCAAAAGAACAGCTGATCGAAGTAATGCATCACATCATCGATGGAGATCAGGCTCTGCGGGCGCTCCGCTTGTTCTGGAACAAAGTGGAAGGAGTGATTAATCTCAAGGCCAGCGCCTCCGTAGTACAGGACATAATTCTTTCCAGATTCCACCCGGAGGTCATCAAGAGCTTTGTAGAACCCATTCCCATCGCTTGGACGAGCCAGCACGCATCTTTCCTTTGTCCAACAACGCTCCGTGACTCCCTCCTCGCATATGCGCTCTTGCTCTGCACTCAATTTGATCTTGTCCAATTGCTCCATCTGGACCTCGCCGCTGCCGTCAAACAGCAATTCAGGCGGATTGCACACCATGACCAGCGCACCTTCTAAGCAGCTCTCAGCATCCCTCAGCTTACACCTCAGCGCAAAGCGTGAGTGTCAATGGGGATCCCATTGGCGAATTTCAATGAATCATTGAGCTGATCAAAGCACCAACAAATTTGGAAAGGGTTTTTCAACTGTTCAATTTCCCAACAATGATTGGTGTCCTTCTGGTTTCCCACACATACTCCAAGCCGCAGGGGCATCGCCTCGGCTGAGCTTTCCAAGCGCCGCGAAAGGGCGCGGAGCTCGTTAGCCTCCACTGAGGCCATGGCTCTGAACCCAAACGGCTCAGTCGGAATCAGTTTACCCTTTTGGGTGGCTGGGAGGTTGGTGCAAGAAGGGCTTTGAGCCCCCACACCAATCAAGCCGGCACCAACTTGGTGCTTCCGGAGTCGAAACACTAGAGTATGTGAGGTGTCAGAAACCATTTAAACAGGAATGCACGGATTGCCGGCTGTCACGTTTACCTGCAACAGGTGAACAATCAAAATGCCGCTGCGCGGGTTGAATCGAAGAGCTTTGCGCGCGCTTCCGCAGAGCACAAGGCTGCTTTGCTGATGGACCCGCTGTCTCAGCTCGCTCTTATGGTTGTTTGGGTTGGTTGGTTGGTTGGTGGGTGGGTGAGTGGGTGGGTGGGTGGGTGGGTGGGTTGGGTGGTTGTTGTTGGCTGGGCTGGGGGGGTTGGTTGGCTGCTGGGAGTGTTTTTGGTTTGGTTTGGTTTGGGTTGGTGTGGTTCGTGTGTAGATGGTTAACATCGTATGTCGTATATGTTTGGGCGAGTTGGTGGTTGGTTGGCTGGCTGATTTGTTGGTTAGTTGGTTGGTTGCGCGCGGGTGTGTTGTCTGCTGTTTAGCGTCGTACCCACCCTTTTCCGTCCGAGACTTCTAGCGCAGAGAGCCTTGTTTGGGGTGCCGTCTGCGCTGTCCGGGTTTAATATAATAGTGTATATTTAAAACCATGGGGGAAAGGATCTGACGGACACGACTCCGCCGCTGAGCGAAGTGGTAGGAGCAAGCGCACAAGCACTTGGACTGGCGCACTTTTAGGCAGAAGCAGCGGCGCCTGATTTTGCGAGAGGGAGCCGCGTGATATAGGTTTTGCCCCCGCACCCGCTCGCACAAGCGAAACTCGACAACAAAGCGAAACGCCACCAACACATCACGAGACCCAACCAGTTAACCAACCAACCAACAAGCCAGCCAGCCAACCAACCAACCAAGCCAACCAACCAACCAAAAGCAACAAACAACCAACCAACCCACCAACCAACCAACCAACACCAACCAACCAGCGCAACTTGAGAAACTTGGTATCAACTCGCCAAACAGTCTAGGGGCAGATACAAGGATAACTAGCACACCACACGTCCATCAATCAACCAACCAACTGCCAAAACAAATCAGAAAGGGACGGTGAAGCCCTTATTGCTTGGCAGTGGCGGCTGCTGCGGCCCCTATCTTGGCAAGCGCAAGAGCAAGGCAAAGACAAACCGTGGAGGGCGTCTTGGTGAGAGGTGACGGTAGGGGAAGCTACGGGCAAGATCACACCCGCAAGACCTAGACTTGCCGTCGGCATGTTGTTGCAGCCACTAGTCGAGCAGCTGGAACCGATGTGGACAAAGAAGGTGACTGGCTGGGCTTAAGATTTGAACCATTTTTTCCCATGTCGCCTTTCGCATAATTGCCAGTCGACCGAAAAGACTCCGTACACCCATCTTTCAAGCGCGGAAATCCTTCATAGGCGCCGGGCGGCGGCATCCAGATATTCTGGGCGCCAAAGCGCGTCTAGAGCGTAAGCCCTCGGGTTGTGCAAGGCTGGCAGGGCTAAAACGTATTCGTTAAGGCATGTACAAAGCTCGTCCGAAGCGGCCGCAGTTCTTTTTACCGGGATTGCTGAAAGTAGCACTGTTTCCAGGGCACTGGTGCGCCTGGAACAGGAGGCGCTGCCCAAGATGCGATTTGATTGGGCTGAGTGCATGGCGACCCGGAGCTGGCGGCCGGTTCGGGAGGCTCTGAGCGAAGGCTGAGCCGATGGCACTCGGCTAGGGCTTTCCTAAGGCGCGCTGCTGCCACACTAGATTCTGGATCTTCTATGTTATTGGCTGTCCAGAAGTCCCTGGCAGCGACTATGAAAGGCTGCAAGTCTGCAATGTTGGGGAAGGCAAAGGCGAAGTCAGACGGGCAGTCAAAACCTTTGGCCAAAACGAGGTCCTGCAGGCCTTCAGGGACCCGGGCTTCTGTCAGGACGTCTTGTAGCCGATCGCGATCCATGTGCATCAGCAATGCATGTTTGGAGGGCTGGTTTGAGAGGAAAAAGAATATCTGCGG